AAAAAAAAAAAAAAAAGAAGAAAAAAAAAGGAAAAGTCGAAACTCTTAATTTGCCCTAACGTCAAGTCTGTTAAACCTATTGATTCCAACCTTCCTTTGCCCTCTTTACACCACCATTTGAGAAGTTCAGTAATCAACTGGACAATGGAAAATGAGTTTCAGAGCCAAACAGTTCGTAAATTAGACGATACACATTTTAAACCAAAAATACAATTATGCATACTGATGCGCCTAAATGCTGATTCTGCATCCGCGGCCATTGAAAGGACCTCGTTTCTTCCTCATTCAAAGCAGTAAAAAGTGAATTCAATCCACACTTGTGATTAAATAAGCTCCAGGCTTCCTCAATTAATAGTCTTAAATTTCTACTTCATTCTACTGGGGCCAAATTTTGCAGTAAACACACACACACACACACACACACACACAATCTACAACTAAACCACTAAATTCGCTCAGCTCCATCCACTACCTGTAGAGGCCATTAAAACACGAAACCCTACCGCACAATAAACACAGTAAAAGAGAAAGGAAGTACTTGTAAACATCCAGCTTGACTTCAATTCAACATTTAATCACAAAATCTGAACAGAAAAACGCAGCTTACTCAAACAAAAATTCATAAAACCCACACAGCAAAACGTAAGAACAAAAGCATGGTAACAACAAATCCAAGCAAAATATGAACAAGCAAAAAGAGGAGGAGGAGGAGAAGAAGAGCAGAAACCTTCTTCACCCAGCCAGCAGGAGCAGGGAGCTCGATTGAAACGACGACGTCTGGCTTGTTCAATTCTCCGGTCGCCATTTTTTCCTCTTTTTTTCTTTATCTTTTTTTTTTTTTTTCTCAATATTTAATTCCGTAATAATAATAATTTGAGAAATGAACTTTGAACTGACAGAGAATTTACCAATTTATATTTATTCACGAGTGAGGTGAAAGAGTGCGACATGTATGGATCTGGACGTGACAGATAACTATTAATCGCAATTAATTAATCATTTTGGCGTCCGTGTTACTTTATATGGGAAAATATCCGGTGCTCCCTAGGGGCACCACAGTAAGCCCTTACGGGCCTTAGGGTGTGTTGGTGTGTCGAAATCAAGGAGTCTCCAAGGGCTGACTGTAGTGCCGTTTGGGTATCATCGAATATTTAACTTTCAGTTACAAAATTTATTTTGATACTATATATATATTTTTTTTTATTATATAAATAAATATTTTAGAATTAATTAAGAATGATTACAAATATTTCTATTTACTATTGCAGGTATACAATAATAAAAATTAATATTTTTCGAATATTATAAAGATACATCAAATATTTTAAAAAATCAAATCACATAATCACCGGTCGAAAAGGTTTAATGATAATGATTTGTTGTGATGGAGATTCTAAAGATTAAAAAAACTACGAATATTGTATATAAAGAAGTATTTAATATAACTTCACCTTTTTAAATTATTTTCTCATTTATTAAGTTATGATTTTTATTTTTTTCTATTTTTTTAATTACTTTAACTTCTAATTTATCGCTTTTCATGCAAATGCACATTATAAAAATAGTTATGATGATTATTGCAAGATTACACAAACTGAATTACAAATAATTGTTTAGCAGTCTTGTTATCATCCGATTCAGTAATCCGAAATTACCAACCTCAAACTGCATTATTGGAGGGATTAATTACAAGCACCGACATAGTCCACAATAATCCCGGTTTGCCTACTCAACCGGCCTGGTCACGTAAAACCGAGGTGATCATCGAACCGAGGTCATCCCAAGCCGAGGCTATCTTATACCGAAGTCCCCACGAACCGAGGTCACTATTCCCGAAGTTGGTGACTAGGCGCCTACGCGCAAACCTCACACATCACGAGATCCTTCATCATTTAAGCGGGACCCACTCATATGACCGCCCATCAAAAGCTACTTTACAGGAAAAAGTTACCGTACATCTCGAGCTACGAGCACGAAAATCTACTATAAATAGCCTATTTATGCACTTGTACAAGGATCGCTCTTTGAAACATTCAATACGCATATATAAAAAACTGCCACCTTTCACCTCGATTCACTCGGTTCACCTCGAACCGGGGTCATTGTTGAGTTTTGATTGCATGTCTTACGTTCACAATTATTCAAACTGCTTAACTAAACATCTACGTAATCGTTGTTAACAATCGCATAACAACAAGCCTATGTAATAGTAAGTATAACAATTTGTCTCATGTTTATTTATAAAATGAAAATAAAATTTATTTTTAGAGAACTTTCTTCGTTGTAATACTATTCATTTATGATATATAATAATTTAGTAATAACATACTACAAAAAGGGTTGATATACAAAATATATCTACTATGTAGTAACTAATGTTGTTGTCACGTCATCGTTTCAATGGCATAATTTATCAACTAATTTTAAAATTTTAAGAATTATTATGCTTATTCATTTTTAAATATGCATAAAGTAATAAATAATTAATTTATATTTATACATATAATTTATAATCTTTAATATATTGTATTTTGTTATAGATATTTTTTACATAAATCATAAAATATATTTTTATTTCATAAAATTAAATACAATTCAGGAAAATAATAAAATTTCTTTGGATCAATCGGGTGATTGAATTACCTTTAGGTGATATTTAAAATAGCCAAAAAAAAAAAAATGACAAAACTGAGGTGATCTTGGCGGCCAAGTTATGATCAGTTTTGCTAGATCAAATCTACTATGAAATTAAACTAGTTTTAACCCGTGCATTTGCACGGAAAACCATATGATAGAGGAAAAATAATAAAAAATACAAACAATAGTAAAAATCATAAAAAAATTATTGAAATAAAAGATGTTTAATAAAAGTAAATTTAAATATTATTAACCGCTTATTTATATACAACTTTCGTGGTTTTTACATCATAAATAGCTTCATCAACACAAATCATCATATTCAAACCCCTCAAACTCGTGATTAAATATAGACTCTTCACTTCAAATCATCTCTTATAATAACATAACACTTAATAATTATATAAAATTTACAAACAATAAATTAAAAATATATATACCAGGTTTTTTGAATGATTGAACGCAAGTTTTCAGGAACTGGCGGTGTTCGGAACGACGATGTTACAGTAGACAAATCAGCTAATGTACCTACATTGATTAAATTGATAAACTAAAATTTATAATAAAATATTTAGAAATTTTATAATGTCGAAGTTAATATTTTAAACATTTATGAAAAAAAAATTAAGCAAACACAAAGTCGTTCAAGTTTCAATATACCAATCAAGATTTACACATATAATAGTTTTACTTGTTCAAATGATTATATTTTTCAGTACAAAGGTTTAGGGTCATTTTTTTAATAATTTTTTCCTATATATTATAGTAAATAATTTTGGGTCAAAAAATTAAAAAATTTGAGTCCATTTTGAATGGTTGTAAATTAAATAGAAATAATGGCCATTATTACAAAAAGTTTTTGTATTAAAATTAGAGTTATTGGGCTGCTTTTTTAGAAATTAAAATGTAGCCCAATTAAAAGCCCAAATTTTGAGCATGTGTAAGACACTTTGAAATGTCGAGTAAATGGGTCCTTAATTTGACACGTAGGAGATTATACATGTATTAGAGTATAAAACCAGAGAAACCCTAAATTGCGAGGATGTCTCGCCATTTTGATGTCGGCGCATATTTCTCTCCCAAATTCTTTCCATCACAAACATTATTCTTGAGCCTTTCGTAAATGAACACTTTGATGAGAGTTCCGAGTTTGTCTCATTCTTATATTTTCCCTTTGATAATGAAAAACACCCGAAAAAACGTTTTCTCTAGAGAAAAGAGAGATCGAAAAAGTGAAATCGGCCCGATTTATGAAACCGATTTACTAAATTATAGTATCTTGGTTCAAATCGGGCGATGACATTATAGATCTATGAAGATTTGCAGTTTTTGCATTGTCTTCTTTTTAATTTTCTTAAAAATATGTTGCTTTTATGTTTTTAATGATTTATGGTGTTTCCGAAGATGCTTCTATTCTTGTTATAAGATTTACTGTTTTTATTTTAATTTATAAGGCTATAAGCATATTTTATATATTTTTAGTTCAAGTATTAAAATGTTTTGTAATTTATTAGCAGATTTGCTAATATTTGAAGAAGATTAAGGAGTCTTTTGTTTTTTAGTTGAAAATGTAAATAGATTTGTAGAAAATCGTTTTTTTTTTCTCGACATAATGTAGTGCACTGATCAGTATTACATTTTTTGAATAACAATGTAGACTCTTTTGTTTTTGTATAAATTTATATTAAATTTTAATCAATCAAAGGTGTTAATTTGAGGTTTAAGTTTAAACTATACTTGTTTGCAAAAGTCTTGCAGCTTATCACTGGGTAATTGAAAATGTTGCAAAATGTGGCCTCCTTGTGAAAGAAAATATGTATCAGCTTTTTGTTATGACTTCTAGAGCAAAGTTTTATCTTGCCTGCAAAGTGCATATATTTCTTAAATATATTTGTAGTTGGATAGATAATTCATATTTATGAAAAGAGTTCAGATTCATTAAAGTTTATAATTATCCATTTAATGATGAATTGTTTGTCTGCCAATAAAATGCAATTCAAGTAGATTGAAAGTTGTTTAGCTATATACTTTCTAGTGTTTGTCTTATAAAATTTATAATCAAATTTTATTTGGCTAAACTTTTTATTTTAAAAAATTGATATTGAAATTAACTAACATAACAAGGTTGCTCTCTTTTTTAGTGTCTCTACTGGTTTGCTCGTTTGAGGATGACTGTAGAATGTTTTGAGGTACTATTTCCCCGATCCATTTGTTTTTATACTTGTTGTTTCTAGTTGTTTTACCCAATTAGTAGCTTTTGTTCTTATATGCTTTACTCCTTGTTGCCTTGTTATATGTTGCCTTGTTCTTATGTTTGTAATATAGTTTAAATCAGCATTTTTTTTTTTTTTTTAATGTAGATAGAACAGAATGGAAATGGCAGCACATATGTAGAAGAAAAGAAACAACATATGAAAAAAAGGGTAATTCTTTCTTATAGAAATTCAAAGAACCCTAAGATACAAATCCATTAGTATACCATTTGGAGTAGTATCTTGCTTGCGTCTTTTGTTGCCCAATAGAAGGTTTTGTTTGTACGCTGTGTTTTTTGGATAAAGAGAATGACCAAATTTTTTGGGAGTTTACATAGAAGAATAATGCATCTATATATGTTTAATATATTAATGGCAATTGTTACCTTTTATTAACATTGAAAACCTAATGACTTATATTTGGTAGGTCTAGAAAACTGATATATTTTTTAATATGCTGTAAAAGAATTACATGAATCATGGATTTTGAAATGTTCATATTAGTGCTTAAAATGATGCGGTATTTCATTGTCATGTGTTAAGTTTTGTTGATTTTTTAATTTTCTCCAATCAGTTAAAAAATGCATCGAAGTAATAATAGATTGTCGATTTAATTGTTTTGATTTTTAAAAATAAAAAAAAATTGGCAAGCATTTTTTTTTTAGTATTAAATGGTTTATTGAGTTATTTGTCAAACAAATTTTCTTTGTTATGCTATATTTGTTCATTCCATGATAATTTTTGTGGTTTGTTTCTTATCCAATTAAGAGCATTATTCTTGCATAACTAATAAAGTCTTGTCTTTTTTAATATTTGTTCTTTTTGGTAATTGAATTTCAGGTTTAGCTAACTTATGTTTTTATTTGAAAGTAAGAATTTCGTATATACTTGTTACTATATAGATTGGTATTATATA